GGGTTAAGGAGGTAGTGTTGTTGATTTGTCAACAACACTACCAACATAATGTTTTCCAAGTTTTATAATTTTTTCAAGTTCAAACGATTTTAAATATCTAAATTCTATCATTAATTATACATTCATGTGATGATTTACAGATGTGAATTCTGAATAGAAAGTTTGACATATTTTTTAATATAAGGTATTAACTAAAGATGAAAACTTACAATATTTTCATTTCTCATCCTTATCATTTAAGTATCAGTTGCTTTGAAAATCATCTTTGTTTTTAATGCTTCAATTTAAAAGACTTCACAATCTTGGATCTTTCTATTAAGTTTGATATGCATATATTACTTACTTCTGCATATTCGAAGGTTCAAAAAATTTCAGATTCCAAATATCAAATAATGTCAATCATAATTGCTAATTGCACAAATGGATCAAACTATTATATCTATTTTATATTTACAAGCATCAATCTAATTAGAAACATATATATGTGTGTATATATATATATATATAGTAAATTTTAACAACATATGCGTTTATAAGTATATCAGAAATGGCACATATTTATTATTATGCATTGATCAATCATTTACTTGCTTTAGATAATGCCAGTAGTATTATATTTCATTTCACTTGATGTCTAATGAAAGAATTTTGCAAATTATATTAATCAATAAAATAGAGAATGCTAGTTTTGCTTATCATGAAAGTTTGCAAAGTAGCACAAACTTTCAAAGGAAAAATTCAGGTCAACGCATTAGTTAGATTCATTTTAGTGTCAATCAAGTCTATTTTTTTTTTTAAGTTGCATTTCTGATAAAGTGATATATAATGTTGATGTGTATCACTTTGATGTACATCTTTTGATTTTGATTAGGATGTAATAATCTCTAACTTTCACAATGAAAATTGAAAACTTCATCTATTAAGTCCATGAAAGTGAGAAGTATATTCCATCAAATAGAATAATTTATTGTTTTTGCTTCTGCAGCATATTAAGCTTCCGTTGTTGACTATACTTTTCACTTTTGCAAAATATATCTCCAACTTAAGCATTCACTTTCAAATATGAACATATATCCAATTGTAGATTTTTTCGTCTACAGATTTTGTTCATAGTCACTAAATGTGTTAAAAAAACACTCCTTAATACTGCTCAATTTTTGTACGTGTCAAATCTCATCTCCATCAACTTTAGCACTCTTACTAGTCTTTGAGGAACAGATTAAAATGAATTCTTGATTAAAAAGCTCCAAGAGCAAGTTAAGTAACTATAGATATGTAGCACATTAAGAAAAATAACACTAGTACCATAAACCGAAATTTAAACTTTCGTTTGCATTTTAGCAGCAAATTTCAGTCTTCAAATTTGTTGCTTTGCAAAACAAGTCTTTCCAGCAATTAAAAAGCATGAGGAGAAAGAGTAAGATTAGTTTGGATTTCTTGTACGAGGATGAGGAAAAGTTGATGCCCACAATTTTGATGCTCAAGGAGCATCAAAATTGCTCCTTAGGCTCTTGCTTCAGTTTGTCAAGGTGACAACGAAACTGAAAGAGTGGAACACCACAAAAACACGGTTCATTGGTTGAGCAAAATGAGAATTTTAATGATGAGCTCTGGCTTATTCTCTGCCAGTTGGATCTCTCCACTAGACTTCAGCAAGTGTTGAAAAATGATCAATATGAAGCAGCCCAGCATCTTTGAGAAAAGATATCAAATTTTGAACAAGGAGTTGCATGACAACATGAAGCAAAGATGTGATGAGTATTCTAGAAAGATGAAAAGCACACGCTGTTTTTCCTGTTTTGCGACTCAAAATTGACCTGCAAAGAGCTTCATTGTTGGTTGGTTATGTGGCCGAAGACATTGCTTCCAGATTTTTGACGTTGCTGCCAAAAAGACAACAATAACTTACTTGATGCTACTTCGGGCCGGAGAAGGTAGGAAGGAAGAAGAAGATGCAGCAAAAATGCCCTCAACTCTTGAACAACGTTTGACGGAAGGCTTTTGAATTCTAAGATAGAGATAATTTAGAAATCAATGCACAGACCCAAAAGCAATGCTCTAATTTTTCAATTATCGAAATCCAAAACTAGCTGTTTCAAATGAAAGACCATGGCAAACTAAAAGATACAAAAATGATTGAAAAATCAATTATAACTTCACGGAAGAGAATAACATCTAGGAACTGAATCTGCTGAATATGCGAAAAATTTTTTTTTTGTTCTCATAATGTGCGCTCCAAGAAATGCCCATCGCATCAATCGTTATCGAAAAATAACAACATCTAGAAATTGAATATGCTGAATACGCAAAATTGTTTGTTCTTCTTCTCGTACTGTGCGCTCCAAAAATGCCCATTGCGCCACTAGTGATTGGATGTGCCTCGTCACCTTCCGTTTTCAAACTGGCTCGCAGGTCTGCCTCGCCTACTATATCAAGAAGCAACCTGGTTGTAGTCATGATATTTCATATATAAACTCCGTCTTTTCTCTCTTCTATTTCACACTCATCCCATGATCAGCTTATGTTTGTATTGGTAATCAATTGGGTCCACTACTACATAACCAAAAAACTTATCAATTTCTATTTCACAACAGTTCTTGTATCCATTATTCTGATATCAACTGTTATAAGAAATCCAAACTCATCAAAAACATATAGTCAATCCAACAACACATACACTGGACATATCTAGTTCACCACTACAAACTACATACACAGGAATACAAAGACTTTAGTAAGTGATAATCCTAAACATTGACATCAAGAGCTTCTGTATACTGTTTTTTTTATAATAACAGTTCAACCAGCTTCTTTAACTAGGATGAAGCTAACCTGACTTATCATAAGACTTGAGTTATAAAATATCATTATGTTATATAATTTTAAAAAAATCGATTTTTTTTAAATCAAGAATATTTATGATTATCAATAACTTTGATTGGAATCTAAAGCAAAAATTTTTATATTAACTATTTATGCAGACGTTTTATCAATTTTCAAAAGTAAATAATAAAAGATATTCGATTCAAGTTCATAAATGATCTTGGGAGGTTTTAAGTTATCAGTTTTATGCATACTTTTCAATGTTAAATAGTTTTTTTTCCATAGTTTTATGTATTTTTCAACTGGTTTTAAATATTCATTAGATTGATTCATGAATTTCCATAAAAAAATGAAAAAATTTAATGAAATATTGAAATACATTTTAGTAGTATCATTATGCAATATATTTTACATAATGCTTGAATTAGTACAAATTTTACTTTATGCATCATGCTTGAATTGGGATTAATCTTCTATTTATTTCTATATAAAATTATATATTGATATATGGTCTATTTTTTGGAAAAATATGCATTTGTTCAAGATTTACTTGGAAAAAAAATATGTTTATGACTTTTTTATAAAAAAATTAATTGATAATTTTATATAAAAAATAATGAAAGAAATATTTCTGTATTAATATCAAATTGCAAAAGTACTGATATCTTTTAAAAATTTATACTATTGACAGTGGCTTAGTAGAAAACTATAAGTAGTAAAACTTTGATTTATTTCGAAACTAAAATCTTTGAAAGTGTTAATTAATATATATCTTAGGATATACTTGTCAAGATAATTTTTTTCAAATATTTCCAAATAGATTTGAAAATTTGTATGTTTGCAATCACGATCCATACGTAAATCAAATGAGAAGAAATGATAATTTTTAAACATTGCAAGAAATATGATACTGTGCTACCATTAATTTGATAAGTGATGTATTTGGATGAAAAAGAACCAAATTTCATCTAAATTTTTTGTGAAAATGTTATTAAATGTTTATTTATATCAATTTGATATTCAATGCAATCCAATCAGGATTTGCAGCATAATTTTAATTAATAAGTTTTTCAATATAATTTTTTTACAGTGAATAAAAATATTTCATTCTATTAAAAAACTTATAAAAAATTTCATAAAGAGCTAAAATAGACAATATTAAACACTTGAAAGTGGTATTCATTGAAATACAAGCATACAAGAGATTGCTTCATATATTTTGACAGACTATATTGATTTTCACCTTTCGCCGCCTCAATTTAGGTCTAGTTTATATTAAAAAATCAATTATTGAGAATTTTCTACAGTAAGTCACTTTTGAAATTTTGCGCTGCAATTATATATCGAGTGTGATAAAATCTAACACAATAAATATTTTTCTAACTTTTTTTTAAAAAACATTTTCAATCCAGTCATTAATTCTTAGCAACTTTATGAGCTAAAGCAAAAATTCTTTATAATAGGATTTTAAAAAAGTTCATAATATTGTTTGTTGAGATTAAGTGTATGAGAACATCGGTATATTTTGATCCAGACTAATAATTTTCTCTTATTTAAACCTGTAACAAAAATGCTATCTTTATTACATTATAACATCATAAAAATTAGACCTTTATAAATAAAATCTACACAACAATTTTAGCATAAATTTTCATGATTGACGTGAAAAGCGATAATTATCCGGTTTGATTTCAAATTTTGGAAATAAATGTTGTATGATAAATTTCTATTTTTTTTCAAAATGAGTGAAATTTTTACTTTTATTTTGAACTTGCTATTCATTTATAGTAACGTAATATAAAATAATATTAAAAAAATTAAATTTTTTGCAAAGATATGAGAATCTTTGCAAAAAAATTAAGTTTTTTTTTTTGGGAAACTTCATAATAATCATTGATAAAAGAAATTCAAAAATATAAATAAAAATTTCAATAGTTTATGTTACTGTATAGTTTGTTTTAATTGATTATAGAAATAAAAAAATAAAAAATTGAATGTGCAATCACCAAAATACAATGTATTTGATTCAAAACATCAACTTTTGAAACGTTTTTAAAGTCTATGTCTGATGCATGTTTACAAGATACTTAACAAACACCAAAGTTTTTCAATTATTGTCATGTGCATGAGACTCTTAAGTAGAAGGAATGTCATTCTTGAGATGAAAAGCTCAAAGTGGGTTTGAATTAACTCTGATATATATTTTGAAGCAAAATTGCTCAGTAGATTACAATAAGCTACATTAGCCTAATCCCGATATTTCAATGTACAGTACCTACCTACTCTTCTAGAACTATACATGGACCTGGCCATCCCATGGCCAACAATGGGTGACACAAGTTACTGTGTTCAAATCTGTCGATGTTTCCCAGTTCTGTAGTTCGCTCAACGCCGCTGATGCACGGCCGCGGAGTAGGCCCCTTCAGTTTGACTGAAGATCCCATTCGATCCTCGAGTTCTTTCCTTCGCTCGTTTCCAGAGAGTTAATCTCCAGAGCACGGGTTCAGGTAGGGCTCCGATCGGGTCGGGTTCGACCTTCAACCCGAACCCGGCCGGGTTAACCTCCTTAACCCGAACGGGTTCGGGTCGATTCGGGTAGAACCCGAACCCGGTGTCGGCGGATCCATGATCGTGAGGGGACGGGGAATTGAGTCGTGGCCTGAACCGTTCACGCCACGAGGTCACGAGCCTTGAGATGGATAACTCATTGAGCCTCGCTTCATCTACCTCTGACAAGGGCTTCAGATGGCTATGGAGAAGCCTGTTAATCTATTGAATGTTGGTGAGGAGTTATGGTACTGTATTGCACCATCCTGATAATATACACGAGACTACCACATATCTAGCACTGGTTGCAGCTGGAGCTCGAGCGGGTGCAGCACGAATTTTCGTCCAGCGAAGGACGAAAGGTGAAGTGGTCACGCAGATAGTCGCAAATCTGTCGAAAAGAGGATCGGATCAGAACACTAGCGAAATCCACATTCTCAGTCCACCAGGACCACCAGATGTCACTGGAACCGTCCAGAAATTGTTTGCATCGGCCAGCTCCTCCCAAGCAGCAGTCACCGTGGGCTACACTGGCGTAAGTCTTGCCGTTCGTGCACCTGACGTTTGTCCACGCTTGGGACTTGCACATGCATACACACTGGTTCTTCCCAGTGCACAACGCCGAGCAGGAGCACGATTTCAGGTCGAAAGCTTTCGTCGAATTTCCTCCGAGACTCTTGGCTTTGTGACAGTCGCTCGGTATCAATGCCGACCTGCGTAGTCTCATGTCGCTGGAAATTAGTGCTCCTTGGTAACACATCTTGCCCTTAGGAACATCTTCCACCTTCTGATTCCGCCCACATCGCACATACTGGCTGCCATTGTCATTGGGCTCGCACCGGATGCTTAAACCAGGCACGCAGATGGAGGAGCCAGCACCTACAGGGTCATAGAAGAGGCAACACAGTCAGCGACGAAAATCTTTGAGAAGGTGTCGCAAAGTGAGAGATCCACCGAGCATTGACATGCAACCAGCCTGGGAATTGCATGCGAGCGTGATTTGCGAATATGTGGCCGCTTTCATCTGATCCAAAATCAAAATCACTGAAGTGTATGCGAGCTGCCGCGGCACTCACCAGAAATGAAAACATGGCCAATAAGGAGACTCATGGCACTAGCAACGCAGAAGCACACAGCAGCTCCTAGGACTAGATTCGAGTTGTTCCGCTTCAGGACCATTTTTGCACGCGGCTGCTGCGATTTCACAGTTGATCGACCCTGCACGCTTTGCGGTCTAGCTAGTCCTCAAATCTTCGAGAAAGATATCTCGATCGGAGTTCAGTCAGGTGATCCGTGTGTCTAGCGCACAATGCAATGCACCCAACCTCAGAGTTGTTCGGTTTTTTAATGCGCGCCTGTCAGCTACATTTGAGGATTCGAACGAAACTCATGCGCTTCGAATGTAATCAATGGTTGTGTGACAAAGTAGCTAATGTGTGACTGATCCAAGACAGGAGACGCGACGTGAATCCCCCGGATAAGTAGGAGATTTTATACTCCCATCCCTCCTGAAGATCCACTCTAGAAGCAGGTCGTTCGGATATCCGGACAAGATGTCAGTTGACCATTTGTCATTTGATGTCGGCTCCTTGCAAATGAGAATCAGTGATCAACTACTATCGAAGTTCTCTTCGTGGCTGTCGATACGCATTCGATAGTCCAGCAGCAGTCTTAACATCAAAATCCGAGAATCTCACAAGAAGAGAAGCTACAAGTTCTGTTCCGGTTTCGATTGATGGACAATTTGAAAATTCCACTCTCAGCCCACTCTTTAAGCGTATCGTCCAATCGTGGAATCTCAGGTCCACACAGCACTTGAACCTCATGCTCACACCGTTCAGTGTCCCTCGGCGTTGACCGGGCGTTCAGCGCGTGGACGAACGCCTTGTGCGGTATCAGCAAAGCCGAGTCAGACTCTTTGGTCTGTGCGGTTCACTGGGTATGGAAAAAGCGTACATTCAGAAGAGTTCAACATAGAGACCGCGAATAGAACAAGCCAAACCTTTCTGGGCTTCTTTTGGAAATTCTCCCTCTTTTCAGAATAGTACTTCTGGTAAACAGTGATTCCCTTACCACGAGGACCTGCACAGCAAACGCACATTGGAATGATACCAGGTCCTATCGGTGAGTCAAACTAGACTTAGACAACCGGTGAAATTCTTTACCAAGAAGACAGCGCTGGATTTTTGTATCAGTGCCCTTGAAACTTGACTCGTCAGACGCAAGTACTTTCCCCACGTGGCAACAATAATCATGACGTTTCCTACCACAGAAGACGTAGTCACCCGTCAGCATCTTTCGGTTTGTTATGATATATGGGCTCTGCTCTGCTGACGAATGTCAGTCGCCATGGCTAGAGAACGCACTCTGCGAGATCTTGCTGAAATGACTCACTGTAGAAATGTGCTAAACTATCGAGCTCTATTAAGTTGACCTAGTGGTCGTCACCAGTATCCCAGACTTCCACTCTTTTGGTATACAGTACGCTAATGCTTCTGATGACTCTCTCGGATAACCGTAAATGGGATAAGTTCAATCCAGATCTCGTGCTGAACTTGCATATCCCTAAAGCCGATAGAGGCATTTGTCCACCGCTATGATCTCTGACCGGCTTCAACTTTGGGTGCGGTGTGACATCAAGCCAAGAGGATGGATACTCATGCCAATTCTAGAGTAACAAAGAGTCAAAACTTTCACAGCAGTAAGCAACAACTAACCGTAAATGATTGTTTCAGATTACTGCGATGTCGAAGGGTGGAGCTTTCAGTTCTATTGTATAAGATGAAAGTGTTCAGAAGCAAGAACCGAAGCTGCTAGGAGATGAAGAGGCTCGAAGCCTTATGTCGACTGACGACTCTGTCGAGTAGCAATACTTTCAAAAAGGTTGCGATGCTCACACGTTGATTGGGTTTGTTCGCAGAACAGAAGTTGGTAGATCATCCTCTTCTAATACTCCTAAGGTAAGATTAAATCTTTGGTATCGTCCACTGGTTCCTGCTAGCTGTGCTGGAAATCATAACCAGCACAAAGACGTATTCCTCCTCGGCATGTGGAATGACGCTTTGGACGAAACATGAAGGGCGGCTGAACTTTCAACTTGGAATCCTCGACTCCCATGGCTAATGTCGGCAGCTGACTGATCTTGAATCTTCATTTCAGCCATAATGAATATTCTACTTAATGATTCTCACAATGTGATGATCATGATCCGATTACAAATCTTCATATTGCACGACCGCCCCATAATAAGAACGATATGCTTGGACTCCTCTGATGTGAAAGTAAATTTAGTAGTCTATGTTTATCTTATTTAATAGATGTAGATTGGCGTATCATCTAACACAGAGAGCATACGACATGAACTTGTAAAATTGGAGAGAATGATTTGATAGGACCCCATCAGAATGCAGAAGTCTTGATGGGACCCAATACTGTAAGTTATATTTTACCCCACGGCAGCTCAGTCCACCGTCACCGATGTTGTACTACGAGTTCTTGTAATTGCTTTGAGTCCGCAATAGGAAAAGCACTGCGGCTCTTTGTTGAAAAGTGACTTCTCCCCAAAATTCAGTTATAACCTAGTTTTCAACGAGGCACCTTCAGGTAATCAAAGCAGGGATTTCACGGACCAAAACAAGCAGCTAACGTGACTTGGGCCAAGAGTTTTAGAAAAAAAAGTAGAGAAGTGTAAGTATATAACGCCCATACATTATAGCGGTAAAATGATCCGGCCGTGAGAAATTGGGCTCTCGCGTGATGATGACTAACTGAACTTCGGAAGGAATTTAATTTTTTTATTGAAATTGAAACAAATCAGTTACAAGAACTAGTATGATAATATAAGTGACGGTGAACTGAAGTGGCATCGGAGGGTCCCATCGGGTAAAATGGAACGTATGGGTCCCATCAAGCATTTTGGGATCAGATTGGTCCCGTCAAGTAATTTTCTCTGTAAAATTGAGACAATGGCAGCCCCAATACTAGATCCACAGCACCTGCCAGATGTCCTCAAACTTCAGTTCGTTCCTTCAGACCGTCGAAAAGATGTAAAGTAACAAACCCGCAGCAGCGCTGACTCACAGTAAGTAGGCATTACAGTTTTGTTCTAGTTTTTTCACCATTCTCGGCCAGTTCAAAACACTTTTCAGGTGAAGAGATTGGTTACGCACGTAAGGCCGCCATACTCCTTGAAGTATTGTCTTTTTGGAGTTCCTTCTATAGCCATGAATCGTGATGCGACATAGAGGAGCCTGACTTCAACATTTACTTTCGGAAATGGGGATATTTTTATTACCGGAGATGAGTTTAGAGATGTCCTTCGGATTTTGAAAAGTCCTTTGACCCACTCTTCTCACACTGATACAGACTTTGAGTCCCAGTCCACGTAGGACTTTGCAGGCCCCGTGGCCACTTATCGTCGAATGATATCAAGTTTGCAGTGATGTCCCAACCAGACCACATATCAAGATTCATCCATGACAATATGATAGATACTGACAATAGACCACCGACTGCACAAATCCACTCCTTTGCTTTCACTCCTGAAGAGGGGAATTAGAAGATTTTCTTGATTAAATCGTGACCCTCTGTGCTGACCGATAACGATTTGTGCATTCTTGAGTTGGTTGAGATCAGCTTGCCTTCTTCCAAAAAACTTTGTTCACTGGAACCTTTTGCTCCTTTGGCTCTTGTTAGAACAGAGCACACTTCGCACCGAGGGATAGACACGAGGTTTTAAGGTTCAGAGCCATTTTTCGTTGATTCCAGACCATTGATAATATGCTAAAATGGCTCGAGGACCAGGCCTGATTTTTCCAGCGAGTATGAAAGATTGCATTCAATACCACGCTGCGAATCTTGCTGGTGGAGAATTAGTACATCTATTTCTCACAAAACTATCAGTAAGGAAACTGTATCTTTCCTTTTGGAAGTGGCTTAGAACAACGTTTTAGCCACTGTGATGACTATCGTCTCCTGTAAGTAGAGATTATACGAACGGATGCAGCTGCTGGTGAGACGAAGTTCTTATTCTCTCACAAGTACCTGAAAAGAATCACGATATTCATCTTGATCATTTGAATCTCGTAGCCATGGCCGAGTGGAAATCTTTAGCAACTTGTCAGATATTTCATACGGCCCATCCTAGACCGTCAGCGTCTATTCGACCTTTCATACAATCCCATCACAGGTACGTCGCTTTCTATAAAATAAAGTGTATGTTTTTTGTCTCTAAAACATCTGGACGGGGTTCTCAAAGGGTCCCAATCGTCAAAGCAAGATTACGTGCTCTCGACAGGTGAAAATGTTTTTCCCAGTTTCCAATCCAAGAGCGTCCGCACTGAGGTCTGCTTTAATTGCAGTTTTGAAATCTCCTGTCACGGAGATGAAAGATGCTGGACGAAATACACATGTTCTCTCTTCGTATGTTTCGAGCCTTGATTGGACCTAGATTTCGATGTCTTTGCTCTGTCTCTCTGAAAGGCTTTCATTAAGTTCCGTCATTCATGCTTCCTCGCGAAAGGTCTTTGGAGCTATCATCCATGATAGTCATCAAGTCTATGAAAACTCTTCCTCACGTGCACTAGTTCACAACAAATTCATACTTTAAATTCCAAAAGTACAGGACGCCTGGATGAAAGTCAAAGTTCTACTTAAAGTGTCTTACGGAATAGAAAAGTTCTTTTGATACGATACTTCGCCCAAGTCTTTCCATGTATCGACGATATGCAAGTAGGGCTTTGGGTTTAGAGCTCGTCAGAACGTGCTAAACCTGAAGATTGGTAGCTTCCAATGTAGGGCAAAGGTAATTCCTCATTTTGGATGTGGTATTATCCCGGTGGATCGCATAAAGCAATACTTCCTGGCATGTGTCGACTCATAAAAAAAAATTTGAATCTTTGATAGGGTATGTCTGACATTTGTCATTCTTCGGCCTCAATTCGTTTTCTCTCATAGGCATTCCATTGCTTTAAATTGTGAGAAAATTACTTGATGGGACCCCGGGAAAACTCAAAACATTTGATGTGATACAATAGGTTTCATTTTACCCGATGGGATCTTGCAGCCCCATCTTGATGTTCGAATACTATCTAACGTTATTTCGAATTGAACATGAAGTCCCGGCAAGACCATATCCGGAGTCATAGTAAATGAAAACAAAATGAGATGTTTAGAAATTAGAGTCATTAGATGGAATATTGAAGACAAATGATATGACTACAACCCAGAATATAACTTTTTATGAATAAGCCTTGAATTATTCTCGTTAGAAAATATATTCTTTACTCTCACATGGATTGGATTGACGTTACTATAAAATCAATGTGCTTAAATTTTGATCTTGCAAAATCCATAAACGTTATTTGTGAAACTCCAAAGCTAGAGTCTTCTCCTGCTATCCATCTTGTAATGTTATTGTGTAATCTTCATACTCCTTAGTAACATGTGTCATATTATACATCAAATGGTTTGAATATTTGTAATAACCCACCAAAGGCTAAAACTGTAGTATAGCACCAAAAAGGTCGAACCGACAGGGATAGAGGCAACACAGAGAGTAGAAAGTGTCACGCTTAACAGACTATTGAAGAGTTTGAATTCTCAGCGACTGTCAGTCCCAGAAATACTGCAAGTGCTCAACTCGGAGCTCACTCGGAGGACACACAGTGCAGCGTAGTTCACTCAACACACACCTGAAACTATAGAAACACAACTCAGAGGTCGGTTAGGACCTCTACTTAAGATTTCAGGGGGAAAGTCTCTCACGAGTACATTCAGTGAATCTGCAGGTAGTGACTCGCAACTCCGGCTTTTACAACCCTTCCACTAGTTTCTGCTAGC